GCCAACGTGCTTTTTGGCTGCACTGAGTCCTAGCTGTAGATGTTGATAATCTTATAGAGGCTCCTCTAGTGTTAGCGCGATTTGCGAGCGCGGCCGCCGCACACCAAATTCGCGGATTTTAAGTTGTAAATCCACAATACTTAGATGCGATGGAGTGTACACAATAACGTTCGATCTGTTTAGCTTATATGGGAGTTACTGTAATGAAAGTTTGACCAGAATAACGTGTTAAAGCCATGAAAAGGAAAATTTCACTTAATTTCTCTTTAGTGGTTTCAAAATTAATTCGAACGTGGTTGTTTCAGTAAAAACACATTTCCCATACAAATAGGTTCGTATTCGCTTGTGATCCTTTTTATTAAAATATGTTAACTGTAATGAAAGAAAACGAGGAATGAATGGAACAGACACATAGGTAAAGGTCTGGAAAACGTCTGCCAAACTGAAGAATATTTGGCCTTTCTGTGAGCCATGTGGTTTTTAAGTATGCTAATGTATGACCTATAGAATGAGTACAAAGACCTTAGGAATAAGTCGCACAAGCGCAAGAAAAAGGGATGACTTGGGTGGGACGCGTTACCGCGTCACGCTGTCGTCAACGTGTTAAGATTTTGTAAGCCATAAGCAAGTCATATCGCTTTCTCCTCCACTCAAGTGTTTTAAGGCCAAGGTTCGCGTTCCTAGTTCCACCAGTGGGGATGTCAACATATGAAACGCGCATCTAAGCAACAATTCACGCGTGAAGTCATTGCACGCTCTCGAGAGCCTTAAAGGCACGAGTCGGGATTGAATTGATGCGTTATTTTGTTCAAACATTAGGCAAGGGTGCAATGAGGAACATTAGTGAGGAGAAAAAGCAAAAAGCACCATAGAAAACACTAAATTTCCCTTAGGAGGCCGGCCGTAGTACGACGGAGAGACACAGCGCTGCGAGGAGAGGGAGAACGCGAGATAGTACGTCGTACGCGAGAGGACGCAGAGACCACGTATGCCGTGGTTGGATTACGCTGGCAGCGCGGCAGCACACAAGGCCTTAGCGCCATTGCCGCGCACTTTTGGGTCGCGATAGTGTCGCGCCCTCAGTGCTTGGGGAGCCCACTATCGCACCCTGGGAAGAACTTCTGCTGGTTGCCTAATCCTGACTCGTAGCTTTATGTCTTTCCTAGTGTAGAGATTGAACACAGACGACCCGTACTCTAAAATGGGGCGCACATAGAGTTTATATGCGCGCAGAAGAACGTCCTGGTCTCTAGACCGAAGAGCTTTGAACAAATTGAAAGTACGTCGATTACCTTTCAAAACCATCATTTTGTAATGTTTGTTAAAATTTAACCGATAATCGTAGTATTATCCGAGACCGCGGACTTCTGAAACTGTTTTAGGGTCTAATTATCCACCATGCAAACAGGGCTAACGGATGGGAAGCCAATACGCATAACCTGAGTTTTGTCGGTCGACAAGCAGAGCCCATTAGCAGTAGGCCCAGCCAACAATTCTATCTATTGCCTGCTGAACAACCGCGTCGGAAACGAATCATTAACTACCCTAGAGATTTTTATATCATCTGCATACATACTGCAATAAACATCAAGATCTTGTATGCATTGAGGGAGATCAGCAGTATAGATATTGAACAGAACAGGTGAGAGAACTCCACCCTGAGGTACACCACTAGTAGCAACTTTTACACTCGAAAGAGAATCACCAACGAGGACCTGGAACTTCCTATTATCAAGAAAATCCTCTATCCAGTTCACAACCAAAGAGTGCTACACCGATGTGCTTCAATTTATGGATCAAAATTTGATGCGACACTTTGTCAAATGCCTTACTAAAATCAAAAAAGACTACATCTACATTTCTTTTCAAATCGATAGCATTTGACCACTTCATGCAACATAACAGAGCCGTTTCAGTGGACTTGCCAGGCAAAAGCCGTGCTGTGATGGAGGGATGATATTATGTTTGTCTAAGTGAGCTAATAATACTGTTTAATAACTTTTTCAAAGTTCCGAGCAAATATAGATGTCAAGCTGATTGGCCTGTAATTGTCAGGGCTGGAAAGCGGCTCTTTTTTGGGAAGTGCAAAAACTATGGAATATTTCCATTTACATGGTGCCTCCCCTCTCATGAGACTCAAGTTAAATAAGAACTCAAGAGGCTCACAGATTTCAAAAATACAATTTTTACTATAGTGAAGGGAATATTTTTGCAATTTGTACTAGCCGCCGACGACCATTTTTCAAGGGTATTTGCGATGGTTTTGTTTTCAAACCAGGGAGGCTGTATCATGAACATCAATTCCTGGAGAATTCAAGCTAGGATAGAAACATGTGACGTAGAAAACACTTTTTCGAATGTATTCGTCAATAACTCTTCCTTAATAGCTCTGGGCAAAGTTTCAGACAGAAGAGTTCCAATTTTTAGTTTATCTCGAAGCCTGTACTTGAGCAGAGAGTATAACAATCTCACTCCACCTTCCGAAAGTTTTTTTTTCCGTTCAATAGACGCATTATATTTGTTAGGCTTTTGAGTCCACCTTTTACTCAGAGCGTGGAAGGCATTCCAGTCACTTGCCGCTTGCGACGAGCTGTATCATGAACATCAATTCCTGGGCTCGCCGCCATAGCCTGTACCTAACTTTCCAAAGTAAATCTTAGCTCAAATATCGGGGGAGTTTAAATTGTACGATTGCATTTTTTAATTTGGAAGGTATGAACATGTCCACGGCGTGATTCAAAATAGCTAGAAACGTTTCATATTTTTCATTTACCGTATGAGTATTATTGAATGAGCCAAGCCAGTCAATGTGTCGTAAATAGTTCCTCATATCTTCAAAATCGGCCGACTTAAAATCTCTGATCTTTAACTTCCAAACAGAGAAAAGACAGGCGAAATTTGATAACTGCATGGTCACTGCTACCAATTTGGGTTCCGCTTTTGGTGGCTCGAATGAGTGTGCTTTCATTACATTACAGCAAATCCAAATGAGATTCAAACCGCATCGGAAACAAAACAGTATGAACCAAACCACGAGACTCACATAAACTATGAAATTTGAAAATATTTGCATCAACATGAGGTGCGAAACTGATGCTCAAATAAGGAAAGTTAAAGTCACCAGCTACGATACAGATTTCACCACATGCACAAAGATCACTTATTGCTTTAACCCTTTGGCCACATTGCGGGTCGATGTTGGGATGCAGCATAAAAAAACTTCACAGCGCATGTTCCAAGTTTCTAGTAATCACACCTTGCTCAGCAGGCTTCGTGTCACCTATAGACACCTTGGTCCGGCGCCAGCGCCATTTGGCGCCATGTTGGCGCCACATGGCGCCACGCCCTTATTTGCCACCAATTACGCTGTAAACTTGGGAACAGGGGTAATCGGTGGTCCTGAGCCTGAAAATAGCTTCCGTTTTCTGGCGCCGCGCCATTTGGCGCCACATGGCGCCACGTCCTTTTTGCCACCAATTACGCTGTAAACTTGGGAACAGGGGTAATCGGTGGTCCTGAGCATGAAAATGGCGTCCGTTTTTTGGCGCCGCGCCATTGGGGCCACGGTACGGATACGGGTAGCGGACGAGCCTCAGCACGGATACGGCATCTATTTTTTGGTGCTGGTGCCAAAAATTTCCATTTGTCCGGGAGCTTTCGTCTCCCATTTTTTATTGAATTTTGCATTGTTGTCTTACTGAACATTATAACGCAATAGAATACATAATCTATAGGTACACTACTCTTCAAGTATTTTCATTCGTGATCACTCTATTGAAACTAACAGCCATACAACACATTGTGATGCACATTCTGAATTCATTCACTCTAAAAAAACAGGGATATTGGGTAGGCATAATACAGATAGCATAACATACAAGATACAAATGCATAGCAGAAAAACTAGGAACTAGAACAAGATGTGTGTTTAGTTTGGAAGCAGTCAAGGCAGATGAATCCTTTACAGTTAGTGCACTGTGTTCTGATCTTCTTAGCATAGTTGTTGGCATAACTCCGACCCTTTTCCTTTACTAGCCTCTGGTAGCAACACT